AACGTCTAACTATTCGCATAAGGGGTGAAACGAGTACCACTATTGCTCGAGTACTGGAGAAGCCGAGCGAGTAGAGCGATCTCAAGTATTCCTTTCGCAATAATGCTATGGATTTGTGTAGAGTTGCTGTGTACAGTTGAGGCAGTTCTGCATGCAGCACCTACACTTCTACTTGAAGTGAGTGTGCACAAGCGATCCTTTCAATTACAGTAAAGCCTGACACTAACATCCACCCCTGGGGGCTGGAGAAAGCGGTCCTCAGTGGCAGGTGGTCCTTAGTCAGGGGTTTGCACCGCACAACCATATATGAATGTGAGACCGTCCGTGCCTGGCAAAGTGGTCTGTAGTACCAGGCTTGTCACTAGTCACAGTGGTCTGTAGTAGCAGGCTGGTCACTAGTCATGGTGGTCTGTAGTAGCAGGCTGGTCGCTAGTCACAGTGGTCTTTAGTAACAGGCTTGTCACTAGTCACAGTGGTCTGTAGTAGCAGGCTGGTCACTAGTCACAGTGGTCTGTAGTAGCAGGCTGGTCACTAGTCACAGTGGTCTGTAGTAGCAGGCTGGTCACTAGTCACAGTGGTCTTTAGTACCAGGTTTTACTATACCTGACCTATGCCGCCAACGCATTTACATCGAGCAGGCAGTGGATAAATGTCATTTCCTACTCAAGCAGAAATAGTATGAAGCTGCAAATCTATTTTCGAGTACTCTTCTCAGAGTGAGTACTCGCTCGCAAAATAATTCGAGCGTGCACTGAGGGAGAAATCAGTGTACTCGTTTCACCCCTAATTAGCGCACAGGTCAATAATCCCAACTGTTCGTTACCGGAAATAATTCCAAGGTAGTGCTAACGTTCATCTTACCCGAAAGCACAAGGTTGTGTTTCCGGAGAGCTCCACAGCCAGCTTGCGCAGTACAGTGTCCGTACTGGCTGCACTAGAGCCAAGTACTCGCTTCATGAACTCGTCGGGCTCACTGGTGCCAGCCGCGGATGCACTGCTGCTGGTGGTAGTCATGCCTGAAGGTTCAACTTGGGATGGCAGCAATGTCGTCGCGGCCATCTCTCGACGGTCGTGCTGACGTTTCTGATCTCTGCGCGGTAGAGGCACAGGTCTGGATAGTAACACCGGCGTCGCCTCGGATGCGCTGGATCGCTGTAGCGACTCCACCAACACGGGGATGTTCAGGTTCGCTTCTATCTCCGATGGCGTCGTAGCCTGCATTGGCATTTCAACACGGTGGGACCGAACGGGCACGTCATCACCATCAAACCCTTCACCATACAGATCAGGGCTGATCAGATCTGAAAAAAGAAACAAGCGGAAAATAAAAGCAGCATGACGGTGATGCAAAATTCGATCGATCGCACGCCAGAATACAGCGTGACAGTGAGTGGTCGGTGCGTGGTAAATATCAGCAGTTCTGGCGCCCCAAGCACACCTACTTTTCTTCTTGAATATCATTCAATGGGTATAATTCAGCTATCTGGGTGTGGTTCCAGACTCGGCTTGCGTGATGCAATAATGAACCGGTATTCAACAGTTTGAGCAGAGACCGGCTTGTCTATTCTTATCGGTTACATAAGACGCGCATAGTCCTCAGTGGGCGAGGAGGTACTCGTGGTGGTGAAGCCCGGGTAGCTAGCCGACAATGGAGGTCGGGTCAGCATCGCATGCCTGTACCGTATGTCTCCGGTTATAAGCCGACCTATACAGCCAAAAAGGAAGTAAACAGGGGTAGTCGACGTACAACTGAGCTTGGACTACTATTGATTTCGAAAGGCAATCCTGTCAGCTTTTCTATTATCGCTCATATCGGCATTGAGCCGGTAAATGGAGGCCCATGTATTGGGGGGTCGACTTGCAACCGGGGTTGACTTTAAAACGGGGTTGACTTCCAACCAGTACAACATGATAACACTCATACCTCGCTTATCCGGGCGGTCCTGAACCGGCCACTGCCTATTACATTGAAATGTCCGTAACTCCCAATCACATACATTTTGATGGGGAAAGACCATAGATACGGCATATGACGTCACTATTTCCACAAAAGGTGACAAGAGTAGTGATATTTCCGCTGAAACTCGCCCAAAGGGTGCCCGGCAGACCGAAGTGTCCGTAACGTTGGGGTATGGATAACCGAGGTATGTGTGTGTATGTGTGTGTGTGTGTGTGTGTGTGTGTGTGTGTGTGTGTGTGTGTGTGTGCGTGTGTGTGTGTGTGTGTGTATGTGTGTATGATGCAGCAGAGTATCTCTGTGCTTTGCCTTACCGCCATGGTCCTCGTCTCCGTCATCGTCATCGTAGCCCAGGCTCGACATGGTTGTCTTATCGCCATCTTGTGGCAGAGGACGGGCAGCGCGGAATGAGTCTCGGCGTCGTCTTCGAACTGGTAGGTCATGCTAAGGGTAAAAGCGCATATACAAGAGAAACGGAAAGCTCTGTAGGCGGAATGGAAAATCGATTAGGAAATTTTAGTGTATGGAAAGTCAGTGTGGAGAAAGCAATTACAGCAATCATGAGAACAATCAATGCAGACATGGCCAACCAACAATATGACGTTGTAGAGTTTAGAGTTTTTAAGTTTAAAAAATAAGTATTTCAAAACAGTCACCAGTTGGAGGGAAAGTAGCAAAAAGGAAGAAATTCTTCTTCTATTTTGTTATTGCTTCTTTCAATGTCCGCCTCGCTAATTCTACTTACTACTACAAAAAATATATTGTATACACACCCCTATTCGTTTAGGAAGGTGAACGCCAGTGATTGTAGCATGGCTGAGTATACGGCAGGAATTTCCGGGGAATACCCCTATGTTGCAGTAGCACTGCCATACAGCCCACTAGTCTTCAAAGCCCTGCCATCCCAGACACGTACACATGCCTGAGTATGTATTCAGACCCGTCTACACATCCATGGCTATCACGGTATTCAGAGCTGTCTAAACATGCTTGGCTATCACGGTATTCAGACTTTCAGCGGTCTCGAGGAAGACCAGCCGTTCTTATAAAATAAAATAAAGAAATTTCACGGTTCGCTCGAGACTCAGCTGCAGGCCGAGTTTTCTGCATCTGCAGAAACATCACCACCCTTGCAGATGCAGCACCACCCTTGCAGATGCAGCACCACCCTTGCAGATATAGCACCACCCTTGCAGATGCAGCACCACCCTTGCAGATATAGCACGACCCTTGCAGATATAGCACCACCCTTGCAGATGCAGCACCACCCTTGCAGATATAGCACGACCCTTGCAGATGCAGCACCACCCTTGCAGATGCAGCACGACCCTTGCAGACGCAGCACGACCCTTGCAGATGCAGCACCACCCTTGCAGATGCAGCACGACCCTTGCAGACGCAGCACGACCCTTGCAGATGCAGCACGACCCTTGCAGATGCAGCACCACCCTTGCAGATGCAGCACCACCCTTGCAGATATAGCACGACCCTTGCAGATATAGCACCACCCTTGCAGATGCAGCACGACCCTTGCAGATATAGCACCACCCTTGCAAATGCAGCTTTTAAAGCGGTGGACGGTGAGTAGATCAGACTCACCAAAGTGGTCAGAGACCGAAAATCCCGTTCACCGCATCCATTCTTATATTACATTCTGCACTGCAGGGTTGCACTTAAAAGTTGATGCACTACACACAACTACATCATAGGGAATAAAATTATGTGGGCTTGTCAACTGACACCTGCTCTGTTCAGTTGCCACTCAGCAAATGTGCTGATTTACAAGAAAAGTTAGCGGGGTGTGACCACTGGAGCTAAATAATACCGACTTCATCTTGTATCCTACTTTCATCCCGATGGTGGGCCAGGCGCAAACATTTGGTGGAATGAGAAGTCAGATGTTAACAGCAAAGAGACTGTTCGGGAGTTGGAGAAGTTACGGACGTGTAAGTGGCTGCGTTGGAGTTAACGGACAGTTAGAAATTGCATTTCGAAGTAGCTTTATCGCATTGTGTGTGAACTCCTTACGGTGGGCTGCAGTGTTACAAGAGAATGTCATTGGTTCGAGTCCTGGTGGCGACTGCCAATATTTTCATAAAAACTTTTCCCTCTTGCATCTTTCCCTCAAACCAATGAACGTTGTAAAATAACGGAGTCTGGTTCGGATGTGCAGCGCTATGGGAATGGGTGTGTCCACCCGAATTCCTTTCACCAATGAACTCATTCCAGTACGCATGAACTCACTGCGCTCCCTTCCTTCGCTCGTTGGACTCTCGTCAGATCCTGGCGTTCGCTAGCCACCTGGCTGCGCAGCAGCAACAAGCGGTTCTCCTGCTCCTCGATGGCATCGTGAAGGACGAGGTGGTGCATCACCATGGCAGGCTCGGCAGCAGGCTCCTCCACCGTCGCCATGCGCATCATCGGGTCAGCGCGCACCGGGGACGACAGCGGTGCATCGTAGCGCCGCCCCTGATCGGTTGCTATGACAACACGACAAAAACACATAAATATCTTTGCACAATACTCATCAAGCATCTATCTCACACTTCGCTAGCGCTATCGTTCTTATCCGATAATAATTGTTGCTGTTTTTTTAACGTTCATTTTCTCTTTGCTGAATGTATAGATCCTTATGTTGTTTCCCATTTCCCTTTAGTCACCACATTCCACTGATGATTCTGACAAGAAAACATTCTGGACATAAACCTGCTTTGGTTGCAATGTGTGTGATAATGAGTGCGCATTTGATATTACTCATCGCAATACAGCAGTAGGTACTGATAAGGGCAGACCGAGAAGATAATTATTCTAGATTGATTCCGAAACGGATACTAGTTCCTCAGGCACATCCCTCCAACTAACAAGATTCTATGTTGATGTAGCGGGGATTGTAAAAATAGATTTCATCGTTTTTCAGCGCACAGTCAGGCTAATTGCTGCAAATTCTTGCAACGTCACCATCCTCGAGGATCAAGGTGCCGATGATGCAGCTGCTAAACCATCGCGCAGTGAGTGGAGCAGGCACACCGGCAAAGTGGCCAAAGACCGCACATCCCATTTGCAGGGCTGCCTCATGTTCTGCTTATTCAGAAACGCTCTGATCGTTACAGGGCAGACCGACAAACCGACCGAAAATCTCCTTCACTATCTTACTTGGATCGTTCACGAAAGTGCCTGATCTGCTGTTTGGGGCACTTAAAATCCAGCAAAAATGTTTTGGCTTCTACATAGGGTGCTGTATCCCTTCATATCCTCCCTTTCCCCGGCCGGAGATTGACCAATACAGATTTCTAATCAAAGAAAAGTGGCAGCCCTGCCTTACATGCATGTTACCCGTGTGCAAAGTCACAACTTCTCAATGAACTGCAGGTCACACGCATGGCAGAGAAAAGCCTTCCACTTTCAAGCAAGATTCGCACCCAGCCCAGTTTATTGTTTCTGAACGATGATCTTGAGACCAATCTTCTCCGTCTGCCTGCATCCGTGCAAAAAATGCTCACATTTGTCGGACTCTGATGGCTATGGCGGGATGCAGCACCAGAACTAGACCATGTATCGCAAAGGATACTTGAACCAAACATGGCCAATAAGAGTGTCTTTAAGAATGAAGAGGATAAAGAAAGGAAGAGAGCAAGCACTATGTGGTGGAGGAGTTCTCATGCAAGCTCCGCAAGAAAACACAGGAGATTACAATGCTTGCTACCCATCACTTCAATCCGCAGTGTATGTACATGTACATATTTATATTTTTAGCAAGTGAAAACATCGCTGCAGCCACTCATCCATATCACTGAACAGCACTATTCGTTTCGTCACATTTTGAGCATATGTAGAGCGGAGATGTTTGCGTATGTGTGTGTGTGGTGTGGTGTGTGTGTGTGTGTGTGTGTGTGGTGTGTGTGTGTGTGTGTGTGTGTGTGTGTGTGTGTGTGTGTGTGTGTGTGTGTGTGTGTGTGTGTGTGCGTGTGTGTTTTCAATAGCCCTGTGATCATGAACCGCACAATGCAATTCAAACTACGACCAACAAAAATAACAACATTTGTATAAAAAAACGGCTAAGAAAACTTGTTTCAAACTTACCGTCCTCAGGCTTGATAGTAGCACCTTGTCATTATCAATTGGTCAGTGAGAGCGAGTGGAGTGGATTGGTGAGGTAAAGTACACATGAAAAACAGGACAGAAGAAAGGACATCGATCAAAACACATCTCTGCCATTCAAATCATCTTCCAGTGGTGGTGGTGGTGGTGGTATTCATCTTTATGGCTCAATCCACAAAATGTGATGCAGAAAGTGAAGAACTATCTGCAGTAAACAGCCATTGTAAATATGAAAAATGTTTTTGCGCCATACCAGCCGGCTACTAGTATGCTGGTGGTGGTGGTGGTGGTGGTTGTGGTCGTGGTGGTGGTGGTCGTGGTGGTGGTGGTATTTGTGGTAATTGTAGTGGTACTGGTTGTGCCAGTGGCAGCGGCAGTGGTTGGCGGATAGTGGCAAGTTCTGGTTGTGGTACAACTTATCCCACCATCACACAAGATCTACAGTTATGTAGTCTGTAGATCTACCGGGTACATGTATGTGCTAGCTTGTATGCTGGCATGACCGTCACTGAATGCTAAAAGTAGAGTACAGGATCTTGCACGTACAGTCAACTTCGCTAATAACGACTGCGGGTATAACGACAATTCGCGAATAACGACAAAATTCCCATGCCCAGAGCAATGTCCCTTCTACCTACATACATATAATGAGACTTCAGGTATAAGGACACTTCGCGAATAAGGACACTTTTCCGATGCCCCACCGAGTGTCGTTATATGCAAAGTTGACTGCATTTTCCAAATGTCCATGATGGAACACGGTTCTATACATCACATGCATGTTTGAAACCTATACTGCGCATGTATCTTTGACTCTCTCATCATCCAAACATTTCCCATATTCGAATCCCTTCTGAACCGGGTCTGCCAAAAGGGTTGGAGTGACCGATCTTTTAGTACATAAAGACATTTTTTAAGAGTACAGTCGAATGTCACTTATCCGGTCGCCAGTTATCCGACAAGCCCGGGAGTGGTAATTTTATGATTCTCAACAGTAAAATTCTTTAAAAAATGTGTTTTTTGTATATTATACGGTGTATATGCATTTACTTGAAGTAGGTGTGGTCAAGTATGCTACCATGTATGTGTGCATGGAGCAATTCATGAATATGCACGAATATATTTGGGTATTGTGTACATAAATCAGTGAAATCCAACCATATATGCACATAAAAATGATATCAGTTATCCAACATATTCAGTTATCCAACATGCCTGATTCCCGAAGTGGTCGGATAAGTGACATTCGACTGTACATGTACATGTATGTAACTGGCCATACCCACAAACGTCTGCACCTGACACTCAACCATAACACACTAACAACAGCAGCAATTAATATGAATTATTCGATAAGTAAAGTGTTGTAGTCACCGTGCTAAGTTATCTGACAAGTTGGAGAACAGATACTGCGTGTTTCGCAATCGCATAAATTCGTATGTGAC